TTGCTGATATGTGTCGCTGATCTTCGGAACGAAATATCCGACCAACCTTATTATTCTCTTCATCTTCACGATCTCGTCGGCGGTCTTCATATCGATCGCGTGCACATTCTATACGATTGATTCCGTCATGCTGGCTCTGGGCATAACTTTTCTGTGCTGTGTCGGAATTTTCGTGTTTTCCTTCAATACTAAATACGACCTCAGTTCTTGTCATGGACTCGTATTCTGCCTTCTTTGGGGGCTCCTGCTCACCTTCCTGCTGATGCCGATACCGTACGGCTCGACGAGTAACAAAGTGAGATACTTATCAGATTCACTCGTCAGGTATCTCTGATAACTTTGTATCATATTTGTAACTAAAGAGCAGAGATCCGACTATATCGAGTATTTTCGGCAGGTTTTCGCCGGGATCGGGGCCATCATATTCATGTTCGTTCTGGTGTATGATATTCATCGCGTTATGGGTCGATCGACGGAAAACGCTCTCTCTCCGGAGGAGTACATCGTAGGAGCACTGGAGGTGAGGATCCACGACGCGATCTCTGCTTCACTTGAAGCCATCGATATGCAGGGTGAAGTCTCCGTGCTCATTTTTGAGGGATCCTCAAGCAGCAGTGGGGTGCGTCCGTTCATCTTTTTTGTAATTATCGCTTCTGTGGTTCCAGATTTACTCGGATATCATCAACATCTTCATCAGGATTCTACAGATTGCGGTGCAGCGATGAAAATGCCTGGACGGAAGTGCTTCCATCGACCTGAGGAATATATCCCATCGCCGTGTGAGAGACGGGAAATAATCCGCATGTACAGTGGCGGTCAAAATAATAGAGCCACCTAAAAACTTCGTCTCCTTTTTTCGGAGGTCCGTAACTTTTCAAAAACTCCGCCGAATCGGACGTTTTTTTTTTGAAATTGAAGAGAATTGGATGACTTATGAGGGTTTTAAAATGAGATAGAAAATTTCGAAAATAAGCGATATTGAGATGGCTGTAAGTCCCCCAAAACGCATTCAAATGTCAGAAGTGACGTGTTCATTGAAAAGCTCATCCAATTCTCTTCAATTTCAAAAAAAAAAACGTCCGATTCGGCGGAGTTTTTGAAAAGTTACGGACCTCCGAAAAAAGAAGACGAAGTTTTTAGGTGGCTCCATTATTTTGACCGCCACTGTATATAACCCATAAATTCCCATCCTGGGGGAATTGCTAATTTTGTGGTAGAATATGAATACGGTCAAGTCTCGAATTAGGATCCACGGTGGTGTTATACAGCGAATCTTGGCCTTGGGTCCACCTGCATCGAGGTACCACCTGATTTATCATATCATACCACATTCCGTCGGAACCGTGGTCCATAAGAGCCCATAGTAATCCGGACGCCTAATAGGACTTTCTGAGGCATCGGGTCACTTTTCGCTGTCACTAACTCCACTCCGCGACTGGACCCATCACGCAGTTTTCACCGCATGAATGCGTATATCCTCGTGGTATATAGAGCCTTTGTCATCAGGCTCCTCTACAATTTTTCTAGACAAGGAAGTTCCCGTGGCGTTGTAGGCAATCATGTTGAACCCCTTCGACGACATATTCCCTGAACCTCATATCCTCTGTTTCCTCCCAGGATTCCTAGATCGAACTTTCCAAAGCCGGTACATCACATGCGAGATGCGGCTCTCCGGGATATCCTTGCCAAAAACATCATTGCCCTGTCCTGGCTGGCTTGGTCAAGCTCACGTCTCACCACTAAACATCGAGTCGCTGGAGCGCACTTTTCGTTGATCACGGAGACGACGAAACCCGTGGGTCAAATGGCTCTACTTCGTAGATTTCATGCTCGATGTTCCATAAGGTCTACTAGTCAGAACGTCATTCTCTCCATGTTTTAATGCTTGAGTATTTGGAGCTGAATAAATGATGTCGGAATCGTCTTCATCATGGCCCACCTCGCGTCCCGCTCGATCGCGATAACATGGCGGCCGACTCGCCAATCGGCATTCTAGCCGAAAAATGACCTCTCCGTATTTCGTAAACCTATATCATGGAGTTCTCTCCGTGGACCCTCCTCAGCACTATATGACGGGAGGAGGCTGTCTATATTCGGCACCAATGACGTGGAGGAAGTCCAGCTTCACATTGGGATGTTCCGGTGTAACGCATTTCGGACGCTATTGACGCGCCATTGACTCTCTCCGCGAAGCCCCGACGGCGACTCGGGTCCTTCCGCGAGATGAATTTTAACTTCATGAGATTGACACTCGAGGTGCCGCCAGAGGGTGCCCGGGAAGACTCCATGGAAAAGTTCAACGAAGGTGAAGCTCAGAGAAACGCCACCCATGATGAGATGGATAGACGCGATAACGAGGAGCACACGCCGACCGTCGCGCCAATCAGTCGATGGATCATATGTGGAACACGTGGAACAGTAAAGAATACGATCGTGCGGTCAGCTATCGATTTATTTCCTCCCTTTTTTGCCTTTCTTCTTATTTGCGTTCGTTGTTTTTGTTGAAGCCGCGCTGGTGCCAGGACCCTGAACCTGCGATTTCTCTAGACGCTCGAGGAATTTCTGTTGCTGTAGGACCTGCGGAGCGACTTGAGCCTGGAGAGCCCGCTTGTGTTGCTTGAAAGTTTCGGGGTCTTGTCGATAATCCAGTCCACTGATGAATTCGCAGATCATCTTGAAGAGTTTCCGTTCTGGGGGAGATTTCAATTTCAATGATTCAGGCGCTGTGCGGCTGGAATTTCCGACTGAGATCCCTTTCTGAAATCAGCTGCACGGCAGCCTCAGACTTATATATGTCGGCCGTACTCACTATTCGGGAACTCTGAATTGATTGGTTTCCCATTATCGTCTTTGAAGTGAACCCGGACTCGGGATCTCATGAGAACATTTTCTTTATCGACTTCCCGAGGGTGTACTTTATAGCCTTCGACGAAGAGATCGAAACCTTTCTGTTGCAAGGCGATCACGATCTCCCGTGTGATCGGATCTTCGACAGCCTGTAATTCAGAGCGGAGCACTGTAGCTTTCTTGAACTTCTTCAGACATCGGCCGACATGAGAAGCATAAAGAGAATGGCCCCAGTTCTGATACAATCGCATCAGTTCTCCCACTTACCACTTCTTTCGGGACCCTCCTGCCTTCAGCGACAGTCTTGTTCTTGTTCAAGTAGATTGGGAACACATGGATCCATCTGGAATTTGGTAGAACGTTCGTGAGAGCCAGGCAGCAGCGTCATGGCTCGATTACTGTGGTTTCGGTTGCGTCTTTGTCGCGAAGTACGCAGAGCTTGTTTGGAATTTCAGCAATGACAGACCGCAAGGAGCCCTCCTCCGTCAGAGTTGGGTCTCATATTTCCCAGCTCACCGGCACGATCGAGGGACTCACCTTTCGTGCTCACTGTGTTTCCTCTGCGGATTAAATGGTCCCACTTGGATAACATTCACCGGATTGCCCTGTTGATCTGCCATATGGACACGATTCGAATTATCCCGAAGAAAAAAGTTATTATACGCTATGGTACCTGATTCTTTTTGTTTACTATGGTGATGTGTGGTTGTCGTCTGCTACTGATGCTTCCTCAGCTCCTCGCTTTCCGCTCCTATCCGCGCGAAACACGGTTGCGGGAAGAATTCGGGGAACATGAAACGGCTCAGAAGAATTGGGACGGGAAGCTACATTTCCGAGTAGGTATTGCGCATGGAAAATATTAATGTGGGTCTCGTTCTCCAGCCTGGGATCCCCATTGACTCGATGGATTCTCCGAGTCGCTGATTCCCCCTGGGTACGGCGCACGGAATGATGGTGGGGATGCCTCATGCAGGCACCCAGGGAACGAAGAGCCTCGGAGATACGATGGAACTGTTGAAGGCTCTGAGGAAGCTGCACGACGAAAGATGCTTCGGTCGAGCGTTCCGTCCGGCTTCGGACTCGCATCGTTCGCACTGTCTCGGGCCCAATCGATCTCTCAACAGGGGTCACAATTCACGCATCTCACACAATTTCCGGTCCCGGAGAATCGGACCCTTCGCCTCGTCGGAGGAGGATGAACCCGCGCCGATATTCTCCGGACGAGTTGCATGCTCAGGCTTCATCGGTTCACTAATCGTTCTCGAATTTATCGAGCCGATTTGAGCGTGTTGCCGAGTCAAGAAGATTAGGATTTCGGATGTTCTAGATCCGGTCCCTCATTCGATCCAGGCGTCGTCGAGCTCACAATTCTCCGGACTATTGGACAAGATTCCGGCATTGAGATCTCTCCCCTGACAGAAAGCCTTATCTCCCAAATCGGCGTGGGTTCACTCTTTCACGGAGAGCTAGATCGAGTCCTCACATGTCGAAGATTGCCGCGCGCTTCATGGCTCACCGTTTGGCTCCAAATCTCATTCACCACGAAGCTATGCTCTCTAGAGCTTCGTTTCCGGGCGAGGAGTTTTCTTTCGAAATACGAGTCTTCCAGACCTCAGCGCAAAAAGAGTCTCTTCTTCCCGGAGTCAAGCATCCTCTTGAGGTAGCGCCCACTACACGTGCATTAGTCGCGATCCATGGAGACTTACCCCGCGGGAAGAATTTCTTGGCGATTCCTTTTCACAGAATTCCGAGTGCGGGAGTGTAATTGTCGAACGCCTGGAATGGGGCCGAGCTCGTCCCTATGCATACCAAACGAATGTTAATGGGAGATTGCGGGGAACGTCCATCCAGAACGGATAGAAGGGATGGGTGATAAGCCCCGTTTCAAAAGATGTCGAATGTAGGGGGAGAAATGCGCTTCCATCGACCGCATACATATATGACGGCAGTAGGGATAGCGTGTTGCTTGCTCAAGCGAAGGCTGGCTCTCTCTGAGCCGAAAATTCTGGATCGAGGTTCGAGGAAAC